AACTCTTCAAACCCATACGCAACCTTGGCATCAGGTTCAACCCACAAATATGCTTCCTCCTCCACATCTGGTCCCTCACCAGCACTGCTTTCTTCCACCTCCGACACATCGCCCATCTCCGCCAATACCTCACTTCAAAAGCCGCCAAAACCCTGGTCCATAACTTCGCCACCTCTCGGCTGAACTATTCAAACACCCTCCTCGCTGGTCTCCCCTCCACTACCATTCATAAAATCCAGGTCATCCAGAATTATGCCGCCTGCATTCTTACCTGTACCAAACTCCGCTCCCTGATCACCCCAGTCCTTGCCAGACTGCACTGGCTGCCTGTCCCAGAGGTGATCAATTTCAAGATCCTCACTCTTGTTTTCAAATCCCTCTACTCCTCTGCAACCCTCGACCTCTCTGACCTCCTCTCTCCTCAAAACAGTGCCCGTTGCCTTCGCTCCACTGTGTCTGGCCTCCTCCTTATCCCCCAAATCCTGTGCTCCATCAGCGGTCGTGGCTTCAGCCACTATGCCCCAAGGCTCTGGAACTCCCTTCCTCACTCCCTTCGCTTCACCCCCTCTCTTCCTACTTTCATGTCTTGGCTGAAGACCTTTCTTTTCGACTGTGTCTTTGGTCACCTTCCTCCCCCTCCCCCTGGCTCAGTCCCAGGATCCATTATTGTGAAGCGCTCTGAGACTCCGTCCGGCATGGAGGGCACTATATAAATCCAAGTTGTTGTTGTTCGGTCACCCTCCTATCCCTACCCTCTCTGCCCTCCACCCCTCCTGATCCCAACCACCAGCTCGGGTGTGGATCCCTGACTGTCCAATGCCTTGGGATATCCTTCTGATGTGAAAGGCGCTATACAAATATGATTTGTTGTTGCTGTTGGTTAGCCTGCTCGCCTCGCAAGTGAGAAGAGCTGGGTTTGATTCCTGGGCAGAGCGAAACCTTAGACAAGTTTCCTTACTCTGCACAAATCTGTTTACCTGAAGTGAATAGGAACTCGCTTCCTAAGTCGATTGGCAGATCGCTTTCCGAGGATAATAATCCCCCACCCCAAAATTCGTCACTCAATTGGTCACAAGTGAGTGCTTCAATACAGACTGCTGTGCGCAATTGGCTGCTATGTTTCGTCCACAAAATATACAATACACAGCCAATCCACTTTACAGTAAAGCCTGTGCAGCGCTTTGAGACGTCTCAGCAATGTGATAAGGCGCTATATCAAATGCAAGGATTATTATTGTTATTATAACGTTGAACGCGAATCAGTTGCGTATAATTTATAATTTGCATATCTCAACGTCCCCACAAACAGCCATGAAGTGAGCGAGCGATTTTATTCGGGGGTTTGTCGGCCAGGAAACCGGGAAAGAGAGGGAAACTCCCTTCTTTGTCCTCCCCCAACAGCGCTGCGGGGAATCTTTAATGTTCCTCCCTCACTGCTCTGCTCTGTCTCAAGAGTGCTTCACAGTAATGGATCCCGGGGCCGAGACAGGGGGAGGGGGGTGGAAGATGATCAAAGGTGCGGGTGAAAAGAAAGGTCTTCAGCAGAGACCCAGAAATAGGAAGAGAGGGGACGAGGTGAAGGGAATGAGGAAGGCAGTTCCAGAGCCTCGGGGCGTAGTGGCTGAAGGCACAGCGAACGAGGGTGGAGCGAAGGACTCGAGGATCAATGAGAGCCCAGACCCGGTGGAACGAAGGCAACGGGGACTATTGTGAGGAGAGAGGAGGTCAGAGAGATCGGGGGTGCAGAGGAGTGAAAGTATTTGAAGACAAGGGTGAGGATCTTGAAGTCGATCCTCTCTGGGACAGGCAGCCAGTGCAGTCTGGAAAGGACTGGGGTGGTGCGCGTGAGCGGAGTTTGGTGCGGGTGAGAATGTGGTTGGCAGAGTTTTGTATGACCTGGATTTTATGGATGTTAGTGGAGGGGAGACCGGTGAAGAGGGCGTTTGAACAGTCCAGCCGAGAGGTGACAAAGGCATGGACCAGGATTTCAGCGGCTTTCGGAGAGAGGTATTGGCGGAGATGGACGATGCATCGGAGGTGGAAGAAAGCAGTGCTGGTGGGGGACTGGATGTGGGGGAGGAAGAATAATTGGTGGTCGAACGCCTAGGTTGCATAAGGGTTCGGAGAGTTTTAGGGGGAGGTCAGGTAGATGGAGGAGATGAGTAACGTCTCATCCGAAAGATGGTGCCTAAGACAATACGACACTGCTCTCTCTCTCTCTCTCTCCCACCGGTGCTGAGCTGGAATGTCATCTTAGACACTGTATGATTCCAAGTCCCTGACGTGTGGGGGGGTGGCTTGAACCCACAACCTTCTGACTCAAAGGCGAGAGATAGAGCGAACCGGGGTGACTTGTTTTTATCTCTGTGACTGTGACCTATTTAATTTTTAACACCATAGTTTCAGCTAATCTTATCACGTACTCTTGAGTGGAAATAATGAACTTTTTCATCTTTGCGATGTGTCAAAGCAATCAGCAAAAGTTGCTAACTTCCTCTCTCCTCTCCAAGTGTGGCTCTTAAGAGTTTAAACATTTCACACCTCCAATTTCTAACTAAACAGTACGAAACACACCCCAACCTCAGATTAGGTGAGACATCTCTTTAGGTCATTTGCAAGAGAGTGTGTGAGATAGAGCAAGAGAGAGAGAAAGAGAGACTGAGACACAGAGACTGAGACAGAGAGGAGAGAGACTGAGAGAGAGAGAGAGAGAGACCAAGAAAGTGAAAGAGAGAGAGAGAGAGAGAGAGACAGAGATGTCAGAAGAACATCCAGTTTGTATGATCTCTCGTCTCTTCAAATACCAGTGTCAAACAGTTTGTGACAGAATCCCAGTGTTCACACACTCCCCCGCCAGTGAAACTTTATTCTGTCTTTACACACAATGTGTATCACTGGAAGTGGCTACTCAGCCCAATCAGTTAGGGACTGAGAGAGAGCGAGGCAGAGACTGAGAGAGAGAGAGAGAGTGACTGAGAGAGAGAGAGAGACCGTGAGAGACAGTGTGAGACAGAGAGAGAGAGCGAGTGAGAGAGACAGGGAAAGAGAGTGATAGAGGGAGAGTGACTGAGAGAGTGAGAGAGACAGAGTGAGAGAGTATGATTGAGAGGGAGAAAGAGAAAGACAAAGAGAGAGAAAGAGAAATGGTGCCTATATTTCCCAGGGGTCTCCTAACCCCCATTCTCGCTCACTCCCACAATCTATTTTCCCCTCTCCATTGTTTCTTCTTGAAACGCATCAACACTCTCATTCCCTCCCAGCTCTCTGTCTCTAACACTGCGATCAGCTTCACTGCTCTCCTCTGTCTCTAACACTGCGATCAGCTTCACTGCTCTCCTCTGTCTCTAACACTGCGATCAGCTTCACTGCTCTCCTCTGTCTCTAACACTGCGATCAGCTTCACTGCTCCCCTCTGTCTCTAACACTGCGATCAGCTTCACTGCTCTCCTCTGTCTCTAACACTGCGATCAGCCTCACTGCTCTCCTCTGTCTCTAACACTGTGATCAGCCTCACTGCTCTCCTCTGTTTCTAACACTGTGATCAGCGTCACTGGTCTCCTCTGTCTCTAACACTGTGATCAGCCTCAATGCTCTCCTCTGTTTCTAACACTGATCAGCGTCACTGGTCTCCTCTGTCTCTAACACTGTGATCAGCCTCAATGCTCTCCTCTGTCTCTAACATTGGATCAGCCTCAATGCTCTCCTCTGTCTCTAACACTGTGATCAGCGTCACTGGTCTCCTCTGTCTCTAACACTGATCAGCCTCACTTCTCTCCTCTGTCTCAAACACTCGGATCAGCCTCACTGCTCTCCTCTGTCTCTAACATTGGGATCAGCCTCACTGCTCTCCTCTGTCTCTAACATTGGGATCAGCGTCACTGTTCTCCTCTGTTTCTGACACTGTGATCAGCTTCACTAATCTCCTCTGTCTCTAATACTGATCAGCCTCAATGCTCTCCTCTACTTTTGACACTGCGATCAGCCTCACTGCTCTCAACAACAACTTGGATTTATATAGCGCCCTCCACGACGGACGGCATCTCAGAGCGCTTTACAGTAACGGATCCCGGGGCCGAGCCGGGGGAGGGGGAGGAAGGTGACCAAAGGCGCGGTCAAAAAGAAAGGTCTTCAGCAGAGACCTGAAAATGGGAAGCCAGGGAGCGAGATGAAGGGAGTGAGGAAGGCAGTTCCAGAGCTTCGGGACATAGTGGCTGAAGGCACGGCCGCTGAGGGTGGAGTGGAGGACTCGGGGTACGAGGAGGAGGCCAGACTCTCCTCTGTTTCTGACACTGCGATCAGCCTCACTGCTCTCCTCTGTCTCTAACACTGATCAGCGTCACTGTTCTCTGTTTGACACTGTGATCAGCCACACTGCTCTCCTCTGTCTCACACTGGGATCCGCCTCACTTTTCTCCTCTGTTTCAAACACTTGGATCAGCTTCACTGCTCTCCTCTGTCTCTAACACTGCGATCAGCCTCACTGCTCTCCGCTGTCTCTAACACTGCGATCAGCTTCACTGCTCTCCTCTGTCTCTAACACTGCGATCAGCTTCACTGCTCTCCTCTGTCTCTAACACTGTGATCAGCCTCACTGCTCTCCTCTGTCTCTAACACTGCGATCAGCTTCACTGCTCTCCTCTGTCTCTAACACTGTGATCAGCCTCACTGCTCTCCTCTGTCTCTAACACTGCGATCAGCTTCACTGCTCTCCTCTGTCTCTAACACTGTGATCAGCCTCACTGCTCTCCTCTGTCTCTAACACTGTGATCAGCCTCACTTCTCTCCTCTGTCTCAAACACTCGGATCAGCCTCACTGCTCTCCTCTGTCTCTAACACTGTGATCAGCCTCACTGCTCTCCTCTGTCTCTAACACTGTGATCAGCCTCACTGCTCTCCTCTGTCTCTAACATTGGGATCAGCCTCACTGCTCTCCTCTGTCTCTAACATTTGGGAATCAGCCTCACTGCTCTACTCTGTCTCTAACACTGGCATTTGCCTCACTGCTCTCCTCTGAGATCTCTAATACTGTGATCAGCGTCGCTGCTCTCCTCTCTCTGACACTGGGACCAGGAATATTGCTACAACGGCTGAAACATTTGCCCTCAGTGGCTCAGACATAAACGGGGAACAGTTGAAGTGAGGTTGACGGTGACTCACCACAAAGTAAGAGGAGACAAACCGAAGCTATCATTTTAACAAATTTGCATCTCTGGCGGTGCTGAGAGGAAGAGGAATCGCAGCAGCTTGAGATCACCCGGCTAAGGAGCAGTTTATCAGATCGAATGAGTATGTGACGCTGACAGGAAATGAGATTCTATTTTGACGGGAAGTATTTTCGAAACTAAAACAGGTGCAAGATTGAAATTGTAAATAATCCTTATTGCTTAGTGGAATGAGACGTCTCAAAGCGCTTCCTAGGATTATACTGTAAAGTGGAGTGTGCGAGTCAGTAGTGTCTTTGTGTGTGTGTCTGAGTGGGTGTATGTCTGTGAGAGTGTGTTTGTCGGTGAGTGTGAGTATGAATATGTCTGAGTGTATATGTGTGTGTCTGTGTATGTGTGTGTGCATGTGTTACGTCAGAGTGTGTGTGTATGTCTGAATGTATGTGTGTATGCATGTGCGTGTATGTGAGTGTCTGTGTGTGCATGTGTTTGTGTGCATGTGCATGCCTGTGTGCATGTGAGCTGCTGTGTGTGTATGTGTGTGTCTGAGTGAGTGTGCCTGTGATCTGTGAGTGTCTGTGTATGTATGTGCCTGTGAGTGTTTGTGTGTACATGAGTGTGTGTCTGTGAGTGTATGTCTTGGTATGTGAGTGTATGTCTGGGAGTGTATGTGGGCGTGTGAGTACGTGTGTCTGGGAATGTGTGTCTGAGTGGATGTGTCTGTCTGAATGTGCGTGTGTCTGATTGTGTATATTTGTGAGTGTCTGTGAGTGTTTCTGTATGAGTTTGTGTCTGTGAGTGTATCTGATTAAAGGTTTCTAAGAGAAACATCTGTATGAATCTAAACCCAAACTATCTATCAGTTTGCTTCCTTCGAAGAAGATTATATCACTTGAGAATTAGCACATCAAGAAATGTGTTAATAGTCTCCAAACCCAACTGAGAGCTCCACTCATCACACTTACATATCAAGTGCAAGGATTATTATTACTATCAGTGATTGAAAGCAAAAGAACAAGTGGTGGAGGGATTATGAAAATGATTTAAGAGAGGTGCTGAGATGTGCTTTTAAACAGACATAATACGAATGAAACGTCTACTTTTTCTTCTCTATTTCTTTCATATTTCTGATTTCCTCTTTCTTATCTCACAGTGATTAATAATAATAATAATAATCCTTGCATTTGATATAGCGCTATTCACGGCTTCTAGACGTCTCAAAGCGCTTCACAGAATATACTGTAAAGTGAATTGACTGTATATTAGTGGGCGAAATGAGGCAGTCAAATTGCACACAGCAGCGTCTCACAAACAGTCGTGGATTGAAGTGACCAATTTATTATTGTTCTTTTTTACCTTGAGGGATTATTATTAGGCGTGTGGAGTAGGGAAAGTCACCCAAGGTTTCGCCCTGCCGGGAATCAAACCCAGGTCTCTCGATTGTGTAATTCATCAGCATCCACCCCCCCACCCCCATAGAGTCATAGAATTATACAGCATAGGGTTACACCTGAACAGGGCTGTGACCAATATCCTTGCAGTGAGGTTAACTAGTGCTGTGGGGAAGGGTTTAAATTAATTTCGAGGGGGGGGGAAGGAATCAGGATGTAGTATCAGACAGGACAAGCAAGTTACATAGAGGAATGGGAGAGACAAATAGCAAAGTAATAAGGAGTAGTCCAGAAAAAGGAGGGTTTAGACGGAGGAGAAATACAGAGCAGACTCAGTCTGTCTTGGGGTGCAAGTGCGTAAATGCACGCAGTGTCACAAATAAGATTGGTGAGCTGCGGCTAAAGTTGCCACATGGGGTTATGATGTAGTGGCAATAACGGAGACCTGGCTCACACAAGGACAGGAATGAGAGCTGAATATTCCTGGCTGCAATGTATTCAGGAGGGATAAGGAAGGAAGAAAAGGAGGGGGTTTGGCAATATTGATTAAAGACATGGTTACGGCCCTGGAATGATACCTTGTGCTAGAGGGCCCCAAAAAAGAATCTATGTGGTTAGAGTTAAGGAGCAGAAAAGGAACTGTTACTCTGTTAGGTGTATAGTATAGACCACCAAATAGTGGGAAGAAGATAGAAGATAGCAAGCAGATTTCAGAAAGATGCAAAACCAATAGAATAGTGATAATGGGGGACTTCAATTGTCCTTACAATATCTAGTTCTGGGGAATGAAGTAGGGCCAAGCCAAGGTGGAGTGGAAAGAAAGATTGGCAGGTAAAATAGCTAATGAGCAATGGGAAGCCTTCAAGGAGGAGATAGTTTGGTGACAGAACAAATACATTCCCAGAAAAGGGAAAGAGGGCATTCAAACTTCCCCGGATGAATAAGGAAATAGGGATTCAAATAAAACAGAAAAAGGAGGCTTATGATAAATGTCAGGTCCAAAACACAGAAGATATTCAAATAGAATATAGAAAGAATAAAGGAGAACTGAAAAAGGAAATAAAAGGGGCAAACAGTTTGTACGAGAAAAGATTAGCAGGGTATGGCTGACGTACTGAATGAGTACTTTGCAACTGTCTTCACAAAAGAAGAGGATGCAGCCAATGCCACAGTATCGGAGGAGAGGGTAGAGAAATTGGATAAGATAAGAGTAAACCGAGAGGAGGTACTAGAAAGGTTAACGGTACTCAAGGTAGATAAGTCACCCGGTCCGGATGGGATGCATCCTCAGTTACTGAGGGAAGTAAGGGTGGAAATAACGGAGGCTCTGGCCACAAACTTTCAATCCTCCTTGGACACCGGGGTGGTGCCAGAGACTGGAGAATTGCAAACGTTACTCCTCTGTACAAAAAGGGGCAGAAGGATAAACTCGGGAACTAGAGGCCAGTCAGCCTAACGTCAGTAGTGGGGAAACCTCTAGAGACTGTAATCCGGGACAAAATAAATTTTCACTTAGCAAAATATGAATGAATAAAGCACAGTCAACACGGATTTGTTAAAGATAAATCGTGTCTAATAAAGCTGATAGAGCTATATGATGAAGTAACAGAGAGGGTGGATGAAGATAGAGCAGTTGATGAAGTTTATATGGATTTTCAAAAGGACATTTTGATAAAATGTCACATAAGACACTTCTAAGCAAAATAGAAGCCCACAGTATTAGAGGGACAGTGGCAGCATAATAAATAATAATAATAATCCTTGCATTTGATATAGCGCTTTTCACGTCGGGAGGACGTCCCAAAGTGTTTCACAGAATATACTGTAAAGTGGATTGACTGTATATTTGTGGGCAAACGCGGCAGCCAATTGTGCACAGCAATGTCCCACAAACAGTCATGGATTGAAAATGACCAATTTATTATTGTTTTTGGTTTTGGAGGGATTATTATTAGGCTCTGTGTGGAGGAAGGAAACTTGCCCAAGGTTTCGCTCTGCCTGGAATTGAACTCAGGTCTCTCACTTGCAAAGCGAGTGCTCTAACCACTGAGCTACAGGACTCCACTTGGATACAGAACTGGCTGGGAGACAGAAAGCAGAGAGTGGTGGTGAACGGTTGTTTTTCTGGCTGCAGGGAAGTGTACAGTGGTGTACCCCAGGGGTCAATAAATAACCTGGACTTTGGTATACGGAGTACAATATTCAAGTTTGCAGATGATACTAAGCGAGGGTGGAGGTCAATAGCAGACTACAGGAGAACATAGACAGAATGGTAAAGTGTGGCAGCTGAAGTTTAATGTGGATAAAACAAAGTGATGCATTTTGAGAGAAAGAATGAGGAGAGACAATATAGAACTGTATTTCTATATTCTGTATTTCAGTTTTGGTCTCCTTATTTAAAAAAGGACATACTTGCCCTAGAGGGGGTGCGGCGTAGATTCACTCGGTTAGTTCCTGGAATGAGGGGACTGACCTATGAGGATAGGCTGAATAAACTGGGGCTGTATTCTCTATAGTACAGAAGAATTAGGGGAGATCTTATTGAAACATATAGGATTCTTAAAGGGCTGATAAAGTAGACACTGAGGGTCTGTTTCCCCGGTAGGAGAATCTATAACCAGGGGTCACAGTCTTAAAATTAAGGGTCAGCCTTTTAGAACAGAGTTGAGGAAACATTTCTTCACTCAGAGGGTAGTGAATTTATGGAATTCACTCCCCTAGAAGGGCTGTAGATGCTCAGTTCTTGAACATCTTCAAGGCTGAGACTGATAGATTTTTTAAAAAAAAACTGAGGGATGAGGGGATATGGGGAGAGGGCGGGTAATTAGAGTTAGGTCTGAGGATCAGCCATGGTCTTATCAAATGGCGGGGCAGGTCCGAGGGGCCGAATGGCCTACTCCTGCTCCTAATTCTTATGTTCTTATTTTCTAATATAATCTGATGGTAGAATCTTAAAGGGGGTGAAGGAACAGAGAGACCATGTAAGTAAATTTTACAGGTCAGAACAGGTAGATAAAGCTGTTAAAAAAGCATACGGGATACTAGGCATTACAAATAGGGGCATAGAATACAAAAGTCTGGAAGTTATGATGAACCTTTATAAAACACTGGTTAGGCCTCAGCGAGAGACTGTGTTCAGTTCTGGGCCCCACACTTAGGAAGGATGTCAAGGCATTGAAGAGGGTGCAAAGGAGATTTACCAGTATGGTACCAGGAATGAGGGACTTCAGCTTTCAAGAGAGGCGAGAGAAGCTGGGATTATTCTCCTCGGAGCAGAGAAGGTTAAGATGAGACTTAATAGAAGTTTTCAAAATTATGAGGGGATTTGATGGGGTGAAGAAGGAGAAACTCTTTCCACTGGTGGGTGGGTCGGTAACCCAAGGACACCGATTTAAAATAGTCGTTGAAAGAAACAGGGGAGGTGAGGAGAAATTGTTTCACACAGCGAGTTGTTGGGAAAAGGGTGGTGGAAGCCAATTCGATAACAACTTTTAAGGGAGAAGGACATAATTATTTGGGTAGGACAAGTTTGCAGAGCTATGGGGAGAGAATGGGGGAGTGGGATTGATTTGGAAGCTCTCTTCAAAGAGCTGGCACAGACACGATGGCCTCCTTCTGTACAATTCTATGTTTCTATGAGAAGGAGGCCATTCCGCCCATTGTGTCTGTGGTGGATCTTTGAAAAGAGCTATCCAAATCAATCCCACTCCCCCGCTCTCTCCTCATAGCCCTGCAGACGTATCCTCCCAAAATAATAATTGTTATCGAATCGGCTTCCACCATCCTTTCAGACAATGCATTCCAGATCCAAACAACTCGCTGTGTGAAAAAATGTATCCTCACTTCTTCATTTGACTTTTGTTTTCACTTCTTATTTCCCTAGAAAATAACAGTAATGCTTGTGTTTGTGTTTTATTGCGTCAAGAAGTCTTGAAGCGCTTCACAGGACACACTGTAAAGTAGATGAGATGTTAAAAATAATAATCGTAATCCTTCCAGTTGACATAGCGCCTTATCAGGTCATTAAGACGTCTCAAAGAGCTTCACAGAATATACTGTAAAGTGAATTTGACTGTGTTATGTGCTGAAACACAGTAACCAATTCTTCATAGCAGTTAAATCTCACTCCCCGTCCATGCCCTGTTCAGGGCGGACGTTAAAGATCTCCTGCGGCACTGTCGTGGGCCGGAGAGGAAATTATCATCATTATAATAAAATGAGGGGAGGGGAACGTGTATTTGCTAATGGAATGCACATTCACTGTGAGATCTCAAAGAGGAAATTGAAAATACAGAAGAAAAATTAAATTTTCTCTCTGGTTTGGGAATTACCGACTGAGCCCAGAGTTCATCATGAGGACGTGGTCACACTTCCCCTTGACCAAGATGTTAAAGACCTCCCATGGCACTATTCAAAAAGAAAAGGGTGTTTCTCTCTCTCTTCCTCCCAGTGTCGTGGCCGACAATCCCCCAAATGGCTGTTTGAGGGATGTCACTGTATACAAATTGGCTACCACGTTTCACCCATAAAACACAGAGTCACTACACTTTAGTGTATCCTGTGAAGCGCTTTGAGACATCTCAACTACGTGATTAGGCACGATATCAAATTCAACGATAATTATTATTATCATAGGAACAGGAGTAGGCCTTTCAGCCCATCGAGCCTGTTTCGCCATTAGATCATGGCTGATCTGTACCTCAACTCCAATTACCCACCCTTTGCCCCATATCCCTTGATACCCTGACCTAACAAACATCTATCCACCTCAGTCTTGACAATGTGAATGGATTCAACCATAATCCAGTCTTTTGGGCTATGATAAAGGTGCTGTGTTGAATGCAAGGATTATAATCCATGATTCTTATTCTTTAATGGATTTGTGCATATGATGTACCTGTATTTTTTTCTATACACTTAGAAATTCAGCGCCCATCAGCGAATCCTTCCTCACAGGCAGCTCACATCTGTGAGCTATACGTTCATTCGGAAGCTTTTAGTTAAAGCTTTCACAGTCCAACAGTTTATAGTCACACAGCAAACGGAGGCACAGGGAATAATTGTCCCTCCGAGGGCCAGCAGTTAGTGCTTGAGGACAAAACAATCCGTGCTATTTGCTCCTACTCCATTTCGGGAAAGCTTGCCAGACAGTGCTTTCAATGGCAAACAATGTGGTTTTAGCTGGTTAGACTCCAGTAGTTATCCCAATTCACACTCTGGGGTCCCCAAGCCTTGGCTCTCGCCAACCTGTGCCTAATACGCTCTGGAATTAGGTAAGCAGGATGTGTCCTTCCAGGGAGAGAGAGTGCGTATTCCATTCCAACAATCTATCTCTGGGATTTCTACGTGCAGGTGGGAGGCAGGGAATTCTCAGTTTGGATTGGAGACTCTTAAGCACAGAGATGGGTTTCCGCATGTGTCAGACACCCGGCTGGGCAAAAATATCTCAGTATCTGTCTCACTCTCTGTGTTTCTCTCAGTCTTCCAGTCTCCTTTCTCTCTCTCTCTCTCTCTCTCTCGTACAGAGGCTCTGTGTCTCTCTCAGTCTGGAGTAATGAGTTGCGGTGTTTAAACACTTTGTGTGTGTGTCAGCCCGGCTCAGTCGCTGTGTGTCAGCCTGGCTCAGTCGCTGTGTATCAGTCTGGCTCAGTCACTGTGTGTCAGCCTGGCTCAGTCGCTGTGTATCAGCCTGGCTCAGTCGCTGTGGGTCAGCCCGGCTCAGTCGCTGTGTGTCAGCCCGGCTCAGTCGCTGTGTGTCAGCCTGGCTCAGTCGCTGTGTGTCAGCCTGGCTCAGTCGCTGTATGTCATAAGAACATAAGAAATGCCAGAGGAAGAAAGACCACGGTACATCTAGTTCGCCTTCCACCTTCCTGGCAGTCGCATGTACATATATCCCATACTACCTATCCCATAATGTTATTTCCCAAAATAAAACTATCTAATCTGTTTGAAGGAATCAACGTTTCCTGCTTCAACCGTCTCCCCGGGAGCCTGGTCCACAGGTTCACTATTCGCTCACTGAAATAGTGTTTGCATAGATTCATTTTGAATTTACCCTCTTCAATCGCAGGCCGTGGCCTCTGGTTTTACTATTCTGGACAAGTTGTCAGCCTGTCATGATCTATATTGTTTTGCCCCTTTAGCATCTTAAAGACAGCAATCGTGTCGTCTCTCAATCTTCTTTTCTCCAGTGTGAACATACACAATTTACTGAGTCACTCCTCAGAGTCCAGTCCTTCATTCCCTCAAGAATTCCGATTGTATCTTCTCGATTTCATCAATATCTTTTTTGTACTGCGGTGACCAGAACTGTACAGTCTCTAAGTATTGTCTCACCAATGATCTATACAGTGGCAGGATTACCCCACTATTTTGGCTGCTATCGATCTTTTGAATCATCCCAACACCTGGTTTGCTTTATTCACTGCCACAGAGCATTGTTGGGAGAGCTTCAATTTATTATCAATCAGGACCTCCAGGTCCTTTTCATTTTCCATACGTATTATTTTCCTTCCGTTCAAATATTTGTCCCTTCCAGGATGTTTTGTTCCCATGTGAAGTACTTTACATTTCTCCACATTGAATTTCACCTGGCACTGATCTGCCCAATTTCCAAGTATGTTCAAATCCTCCTGTAACCTATCTTGTTCAGCTTCACTCAGTCGCTGTGTGTCAGCTTGGCTCAATCGCTCACTTGCCTCTCAGTCAGAAGGTTGTGGGTTTGAGCACCCCACACACTTGGGGACTTGGAATCACACCTGACTCTCCAGCACAGCGTTGGGGGGACAGAACGCCACATTGTCGGAGATACCATTCTTTGGATGAGACGTTAAACCTCATTCAGTCTCCGTCTGTGCTCTGTTCAGGGCGGACGTTAAAGATCTGCATTTGATACAGCGCCTTATCAGATCTTCGAGACGTCTCAAAGCATTTCACAGAACATAAAGTGAATTGACGGTATATTTTTTCTTAAAGTTAAACTGTGAAACACTTCGGGGCATGTCTTTGAGGGGTGCGAGTGGGTGGGGGTGGGGGGGAGAAGGCGCTATAAAAATCCAAGTCATTCATTTTACAATTAAATCTCTGGTGCGGTTAATGAGCAACTGGGGTGAAGGAGTGGGATATTTGAGGGCAGCAGCATTGTTCACCAATGGATCTGACCGTTCTTTCCTCTCAAACTGTGTGTGTGTGAGTGTTTATGTACGTATATATATGAGCGTGTGTGTGTACTTGGGAGAGAGAGAGTGAGAAAGAGAGTGAGAGACTGGATCCCTGTTAGGAAGGGGTGAGCAGTGACTGTGCTGATGTGTGTGGGCCTGAGATGTGGGCAGGCTGTCTTCTCATCATCACTGTCCTCTGGGAGGCTTCAGGTGCGTCAGAGGAAGAGAGAGAGACAGAAAGAAAAAAAGAAAGGAAGGAAGGAAGGAAGGAAGGAAGGAGAGAAAGAGCGAGAAAGGAAAGGTGAAAAAGAGAGGGAAAGAGAGAGAGGAATAATGAGAGACACAGACTGTCAAACAGTCTCCTTTCTGATCCCAGTTCCAGCCACAGGCACAAATAGGAAGTGTGAGGAGAGAGGGGGAGGGAGACAAAAAAGGAAGAGAAAGAGTGAGAAAAAGATGTAAGGAGAGAGAAAGGAGAGGGAGAAAGAGAAAAAAGAGAAAAAAGGGAAAGAGATAGAGAAATCAATAAAAAGAGATAGAGCAAGAAAAATAAAGAAAAAACGAAAGAGAGAGCAAAATAGAGTGAGACAGAGAGAGAGCAAGAAAGAGAAAAAAGAGACAGAAAGAGCAAGAGACAAATTGAAAAAAGGAAGGAGGGAACAACAACAACAGATGAAGAAGGAAGGAAGGAAGGAAAGAAGGGAGGTAGGAAAGAGCGAGAAAGAGAAAGAAAGAACAAAGAGAACTAGACTGTTTGTAGGACTCTCCTATGCACAATTGGCTGCAGCATTTCACCTACAAAATATGCAGTCACTACACTTTACAGTATATTCTGTGAAGCGCTTTGAGACACCTCGAAGACGTGATAAGAAGCTATATCACCTACAAGTATTATTATTGTAGACTGTGAGCTGTAAGCTCAGAGTCAAAGACGAGAGAGAGAAAGAGAGAGAGGGAGGGAGGAGGGGCTGAGCGAGTGTGACATTAATGTGATTGAAATATTTCCTTTCCACAGGCAATGTGGACCCAGGGAATGGAGAGAGAGAGATGAAGTGGTCGCTGAATGAACCAAATTGCCCTTTAACCTGGTCTCTCTTCCAGGAATCGGGAATGTGTTTCAAATATTTTTCCAGGCTTTTGGGCTGGCTGGACTCAGAGGTAAGATCAGTATCTGTAGCTCAGTGGTTAGAGCGCGAGAGGACCTGGGTTCGATGTCCTGGTGGGGCGAAACGTTGGGCAAGTTTCTTTACACCTCTGTTTACCTAGCAGTAAGTAGGAAACCATCTCTTAGTCGATTGGCGGATCGCTTTCCGGGGGTAATAATCCCTTAAAAAAAAATTTGGTCACTCAATCCTCGACTGTTTGTGGGATGCTATTGGCTGCTGTGTTTCGCCCACAAAAATATGCAGTCAATTCACTTTACAGTGTATCTTGTGAAGTGCTTTGAGATGTCTCGAAGACGTGATAAGGTGCTATTTCAAATGCAAGGATTATTATTATTTGTTCTCATTATGATGATAATAAAATAATTATGATTACTGTCTCTGTTTTGGGGGTAAAGCTGGCTTGCAGGGCTTCAATGAACGGTTCACACCTGGCCTCCATCCACTCGGAGGATGAGAATAACTTTGTGTTCTACCTGATAAGACGGAAGACTCCCTACGATATAAACGCCTGGATTGGATTGCAAAGCATGTTTATGGTGAGTGAGTGAGTGAGTGTGTGAGTGAGTGAGTGAGTGAGTGAGTGAGGAGTGAGTGAGTGAGTGAGTGAGTGAGTGAGTGAGTGAGTGAGTGAGTGAGTGAGTGAGTGAGTGAGTGAGTGAGTGAGTGAGTGAGGTAGTGAGTGAGTGAGTGGTGGGTGGGTGGGTGGGTGGGTGGGTGGGTGAGTGGGAGAGTGTGTGGGTGAGTATGTGAGAGTGTGAATGAGTGATTGCGGGTGAGTGTGGGTGAGTGTGTGAATGGGTTTATGTGAGTGTGAGAGAGTGTGAGTGAGTGTATGAGAGTGAGTGAGTGAGTGTGAATGAGTGTGTGAGTGAGTGACTGTATCCGATAGCCGCTGAAACCCTGGTCCATGCCTTTGTCACCTCTCGGCTGGACTATTCAAATGCCCTCCTCGCCGGCCTCCCGTCCCTTCCGCTACCATCCATAAAATCCAGATTATACAAAACTCTGCCGCCCGCATTCTCACCCGCACCAAACTCCGCTCCCCGATCACCCCAGTCCTTGCCAGACTGCACTGGCTGCCTGTCCCAGAGAGGACCGACTTCCAGATCCTCACCCTTGTATTCAAATCACTCCACTCCTCTGCATCCCCCGATCTCTCTGACCTCCTCTCTCCTCAAAACAGTGCCCGTTGCCTTCATTCCTCCGGGTCTGGCCTCCTCCTTGTACCCCGAGTCCTCCGCTCCACCCACAGCAGCCGTGCCTTCAGCCACTATGCCCCGAGGCTCTGGAACTGCCTTCCCGAAAGATGAATGGGGGAGTTCAGAGAATTGCGTTAGGAAAGGTGTCTCAAACCCACAAGGAACCAACTAATATTTTCAAGATCCTCTCACTCGTCTACAAATCCTTCACGGTCTATGTCTCCGACCTGCTTTCTCCCCACTCCACTACGCACTGGCTCCGCTTGACTGGCTCCGGCCTCCTGCTTGCCCTTGTGCCCTCTGTTCCATCCTTGGCGGCCATGCTTTCAGCCACTACACTGTCACTCTCTCCCACAATCCCTCCGCCTCGCCCCCTCCTTCCCCGCCTGAAGACTTGCCCGTTCGACCACGCTTATGGTTACGTCACCCCTCCCCTGGCTCAGCATCAGGCTCCGCCACTGTTAAGCGCTCTGAGATGCTGCCCTGGGTGAAGGTTGCTGTGTAAACGTGCTGTGTTGTTGTTGTTGTTGACATGTCTTTCCTGTGACAGAGTGATGAAATAAACAAGTTTGAATGGATTGACCAATCGATGGTTAATTATCTCAACTGGGGACAATTTTACAAAGACATCGCTGGCTCCTGTACAAGAATCAATCCATGTACGTCATCAGCCTCCCCCTCCCTTGTGACTGAATGTCCTCCTCGAGGGGGAGGGTTAAGTGGGGGCTCCTTGAGGGTGAATTGGCTCCATGGTGACACATTTGGCAATGGAATGTCAGAATCGAGCCAGCCCTCTGTGCAGGTCTCTAGTCCGGTTCCTGAGCCAGGCAGGTCCGCAGTATTCCAGGGCACTCATTGCTGATGATTGCACAGCCTGGTCCGGCTCATTGGCAGGACCTCGAAGGGCAGACCAGTCACTGGGGGGGCAGGGAATCCTCACACTCAGCTCCTGTTAACCCTAGGGGAGTGTTGCATTGTCAGCGCTGCCTTCAGATGAGATTAAACCTCACTGCTCACTTGTGTCCTGTTCAGGGAGGACATTAAAGATCTCCCATGGCACAGTTGAAAAAGAGAAGGGAGTTTCTCTCTCTGTCCCGGTTTCCAAGGCGACAAACCACCAAATAAAACCACAGCTCGCTCCACGGATGTTTGCGGCGATGTCGCTGTGTGCAAACCGGCCACCGCATTTTGGTCACAAAACACAGTCACTGCACTTTGCAGTGTGTCCTGTGGAGCGCTTTGAGACATCTCGACAACGACATGATAAGGCGCTGTGTCAAACGCAAAGCTTATTATTATTATTATAATATTTATTATTTTACAGACGGGACCTGGGAGGTCCTATTCGGTGACGAGGAGCTCGGGCACGTGTGCAGTGTAGAAGCTGAATATTAGTGACAGCCCCAGGCAGTGGGGGCTGGTGTGACTGCAGTTACCTGCTGTGTCTGTCTCTCTGTGAACTGTGCACAAGTTGAGATGAGCGACTTCAATGACTCAATTGTATCAGAGAGCAATAAAGCGTAACTCTAATCAACCCAGTTCATGTGATTTATTTCACACATTCTCTCTCTCGCTCTCTCTGCTGGGAGGGAGGGAGGGACGGGGAGGTAACCAGGGTCTTCTGGAGCCGAACTGGCTCCAGGGTAACATGTTTGGCAATGGAATATCAGAATTGAGCTCACCCTCCGTGACAGTCCGGGAGGGTCCGCAGTATTCCGGGGTCGGGGGGTGCAGAGGAGTTGAGGGATTTGAAGACAAGAATGAGGATCTTGAAGTCGATCCTTTCTGGGACAGGGAGCCAGTGCAGTCTGGCCAGGACTGGGGTGATCGGGGAGTGGAGTTTGATGCGGGTAAGAATGCAGGCTTCAGAGTTCTGGATGGCCTGGATTTTATGAATGGTAGTGGAAGGGAGACCGGTGAGGAGGGCATTTGAATAGTCCAGCCGAGAGGTGGCAAAGGCATGGACCAGGGTTTCGGCGGCTTTTGGGGAGCTGTATTGGTGGAAACGGGCAATGCGTCGGAGGTGAAGAAAGTGGTGCTGATGAGGGACTGGATGTGGGGGAGGAAGGATAATTGGGTGTCGAACCTGACGCCTAGGTTGCGTACGGGTTCGGAGAGTTTCAGAGGGAGGTCAGGTAGGTGGAGGAGGTGAGAACCGTGAAATTGAAGACGTTGACGAGAGCCAAAGAGTATGGCTTCTGTCTTGTCAACGTTTAGCTGAAGAAAATTCGCGCTCATCCAGCTCCTGATATCTGACAGGCAGCTGACAGAACATCAGGGGACTGGGGGTCGCAAAGTGAGGTGGAAAAATAGAGTTGGATGTCGTCCATATACATGTGGAAATGTATCCCATATCTGCAGATGACATCCCTGCGCGGGAGCATATAGATTAGGAAGAGGAGGGGGCCAAGGATAGATCCTTGGGGTACCCCGTAGGTAACCGGGTGAGAGCGGGAGAAAAAGTTTGTGCAGATGTACTGCTGGCGGTTCGCGAGGTAGGACTCGAACCAGGCGAGTGCAGTCCCACTGAGGTTAATGACGGAGGAAAGGTGGTGGAGGAGGATGGTGTGATCGACTGTGTCTCTCAGTGGTTTTAGCTGGTTAGACTCCAGCAGTTAACCCAACGCACACTCTTGGTTCCCAAGCCTTGGCTCTTGCCAATCTGTGCATAATCTCCAGAATTTGGCAAGCAGGATGCGTCCCTCCAGGGAGAGAGCGAGTGCTGATTCCGTTCCAATAAATATCTCGGGAATTTCCATGTGTTGGTGGGATGTGTGGAATACTCAGTTCGCTTTGGAGACTCTTTAGCATGGTGATGGGTTTCTGCGTGGGTCAGACACACGGCTGAACAAAAAACAATTGCGTCAGCATGGCTCAATTGGTCACACTTTCCTCTGTAGGAAGGTTGTGAGTTCAAGCCTACATAAGGACAGCACCTCCGACAAAGCAGCGCTCTCTCTCTCTCTCCCCCAAGTGCCGCACTTGAGCGTCATCTTAGACTGTATGATTCTAACTCCCCGATGTGTGGGGGGCTTGAACCCACAACCTTCTGAGTCAGAGGCAAGAGTGCGAGTGACTGAGCCAGGTTGACACACAATGACTGACAGTGCCAATTTTTGAGCCTCGTCAATGATTAACCAGCTTCTAAGCACAAGAGACAACCATACAGACCCCATGAGCAGTATACAATAAACCAGCATAAATGATACTGTATCACATTCCGGCCTTGTCTTGTCCATCGTCCTGTCCCGGAACTGTGCAATAGCTCTCTAACTCCATTGCCCCGCTCTTTCCCTCCTTCTCCTCCCATCGTTCTATGCTGTGCTCGCTGCCCCCACACTGGAGCTCTCTACTCTCTAACCCATTCCCCCAGAGGATCAAGTTGAAGATCCTGGTTCTCACCTTTAAATCCCTCCACAGTGTTGCTCCTCCCTACCTCTGCGATCTACTAAAACATTAATAACCTGTCCGCTCCCTCCGCTCAGCGGACACTGCCCTGCTCCACATCCCCCGCCCTGCCCACTCCACCATCAGCAGTTGGACTTTCAGCCTTCCTGCCACCACCCTCTGGTTTGCCCTCCTCAAATTAGGGCTTTGGCTTGTAGGGTTAACAGGAGCTGAATGATGATGACTCTCTGTCCCCAGTGGCTGGTCTGCTCTTCCAGGTGCTGCTGATGAGCCAGGATGGGCTGCGCTGTCGTCAGCAGTGCCTTGGAATAATCCTTGCATTTGATTTAACACCTTATCACTTCTTTGAGATACTTCAAAGAGTTTCACAGAATAATAATAATAATCCTTGCATTTGATGTAGAGCTTTTCACGTCTTCTAGACGTCTCAAAGTGCTTCACAGAATAGACTGTAAAGTGAATTGATTGTATATTTGTGGGCGAAATGCGGCAGCCAATTGTGCACAGCAGTGTCCCACAAACAGTCGTGGATTGATTGACCAATTTTTTTTAAGGAAATTATTCTCCCCGGAAAAGCGATCCGCCAATCGACTAACAACCTGGTTCCTACGTATTACTAGGTAGACATAGGCCCGTGGAGTAAGGAAACTTGCCCAACGTTTCGCCCTGCCCGGGAATTGACCCTAGGTCACTCACTAGTGAGGTGAGTGCTCTAACCACTGAGCTACAGGACTCCATAGGATTGGAAACCATCACAGAGGGCTGGCTCTGTTCTGACATTCTGTTGCCAAACCTGTCACCAGTTCAGCTCCGAGGAGACCCCGGCCTACCTCTCTGCCAAGGAGGATAGTCACACGTTGTTCATTTGACATCCAGCAAGCTCTCTTCGGATAATAAGAACCTCTTATCTGGGATGACCTAAGCTTATCTACTCAATGACCTCTCCAGGATCTTAGATGTCATTCCAATTTCGGACTCAACACTTCAACTGTGGCCTGACCAATGGTCTATAAGCCCTGATAGTTTTTCTGATGGCACCTCCTTCGCTTCCACTCAGGAGCTGTTAATGACTGACTAGACCATGGTGGAGATGATGCCAGCAACTCTCTTTGCCAATGACACCATTGGTAACCCTCCAAACAATCTGTGTGTGTGTCCATGTGTCCGTGTGTGCGTCCGTGTATGATTGTGTATATATATGTGTGTGTGATTGTGTGCGGTGTGAGGTGTGGTGTGTGTCTATGTGAGTGAGAGTGAGTGAGATAGGGACGGAGCGACAGAGAGAGACAAAGTGTGGAGATACAGGTAAACCCATGTAAGTTATATAAATCTGCAACATAACATTTAACAAGACGAACGTGAAATTCAGTTGGGTTAAGTGTCAGCCTGGTTCTCTCGCCTCCGACTCAGCAGATTGTGGGTTCAAGCCCCACACACATCAGAACTTGGAACCACATTATAAATTGATGCTCCAGCGAAGAACTGAGGGAGAGAGTGGCTTATTGTCTGAGATGACGTCCTTTGGATGAGATTTTAAACCTCACTCCCCATCTGTCTCTGTTCAGGTGGACGTTAAAGATCTCCCGCGGTGCTGTCGGGGATGGGGGGGAGAGTGGGAGGTGGAAGGGTGAGGGTAGGAGAGGGGGAAGGAAAGAAAGAGAAGGTAGTTTTTCTCTCTCTCTCTCTCTCTCTCCCTCCCCAACCAGTGTCCTAACCAACAATCCCCCAAACAAAATCGCTTGCTCCACTGCTGTTTGCGGGGAGGTCGCTGAGCGCAAATGGGCTGCTGGGTTTCACCCACAAAATTCAAAGTCACTACACTTGACAGTGTGTGCCGTGAAGCGCTTTGACGTCCCGACGACATGATAAGGTGATGTGTCAAATGCAAAATAAGACTATCACCAAAGCTAACAAAGTTTTTCGGAAGGAAAATGAATGGGACTCGGGTGGATGTATGACTTGGGGGATTATAGGGTTTATACGGAGGCGAGGCCACTTCTCTTGTTTCTGGCACAGGGAAAGATCTTTGCTCTGACAGCACGATGTTGGGGACAGTCTGGATTCTTGGATCGTTTGCCCTCTGGGAGGCTTCAGGTGCGAAAGATATTCACACATAGAGGCTGCTCTCATATCCATTGTTGTATCGACCAGTGTAGACACGATGGGGGGAAGGCGGGAACGAGAAGGAGAATGGGGTTAGAATAGAGAGCTTCGGTGTGGGGGGGGCGGGAGGCGGGGTAGCAACAGTGTGGACACGATAGCGGGGAGGGGTGGGAGGAGGGAAAGAGGAGGGGAATGGGGCTCAAGGAAAGAGCTCCAGTGTGGCAGGAGGGAGTACCAGTATAGACACGATGGGGAAGGAGGGAAAGAGCAGGGGTATGGGTTTTCAGAGTAGAGAGCTGTAGTGATTATTCCATGATACGCCAATCGACTAACAAGCGAGTTCCTACTTACTGCTCGGTAAACAGAGATGTGTTTAAGGAGTAAGGAAAGTTGCCTAAGGTTTCACACTACCCGGGGAATTGAACCCAGGTCATTTGGCTTACGAGCCAAGTGCTCTAACCTCGACCCTAGTGTAGATGAGGAATATAAGCACCTGAAGCCTGAGGAATATCTCGCCTCTGCTGATCCCAGGTTTTGTCAATCTTTCAGGTCTGTCTTTGAGGGCTGGACGGAAGAGAGAAAAGCCTCAGCTGATGCAAGGAAACTGCTCGGCTGGTTGGAAGGTTTATGTGACGACCAATACTTGCTATAAACTCTTTGAGCGAAGGGTTAGCTATGTAAAAGCTGAGGCAAGAGCTCCTCCTATCTTTAATCAATAATTTACAATAATAATAACAATTTGATATATCATCCTCATATAGATGTCTCAAGGTGCTTCACAGGATTTACTGTAAAGTGTAGTGATGTGTGTTTGTGGGCAAAATCCGGCAGCCAGGTTGTGCACAGTGATGCCCCGCAAACAACAACAACAAGATTACATATGTATAGCACCTTTCACAACAAAATTCAACAACAAGATTCCATTTATAGAGCGCCTTTCACGTCGGGAGGACGTCCCAAGGCGCTGGACAGTGACAGCATTGTGCTGACAGCACAGACCCGAGCTGGGGTCAGGGGCAGAATGATTGGGGGATGGAATTCCAGAGGTTGGGGGTTGAGTGGCTGAAGGCTCTCCCACCAATGTTGGAACGGGTGGGTAGGGGGATGTGGTGCGGAGGCGCTGGCGCGAGCCAATCAGGAGGCACTCGGTCTTGCTGACGTTGAGTTGGAGAAGGTTTCGTCAAGGTGGGGGTGATAGTGGCTGTTTTGAGGGGTTAGGAACAGTGCCAGATGCCAGGGAAAGGTTGATGATGTCGGCTACTAGTGGATAGGGAGGTGGAGCTGAGATTTAAGGAGAGGTGGTGAGCTGCATGGAGGATATGGTGGTGATGACAGAGGAGAGGGTGACAGGTTCAAAGGTGTGGAAGGAGGGATGGGTAGTCGTCGGAGTGTGGGGTTTGTTTAGGCAGGGGTAGCTGAGTGGATTCCCTCAATTTTGGATTCGAGGAAGTCCAGCATTTCCTCGCTGTGGGAATCAGAGGAAAGAATCTGCAAGGCGTGGCGGGGAGGTCGGAGGAGCCAGTTGGTGGTGGAGAACTGTGGCCTGGGGTTGCCCTTCGCCTACAGGATTAACCTGGAATAGAAGGACGATTTGGCCGAGGCAAGAGCAGAGCAGTAGGTTTTGATGTGGTTCAGCCAGATGTGCCGATGGACCGTTAGGCCGGATTTGGGCCAAGTGCAATCAGCAGCCCGCACTTGGCCCTTAAGCAAGTGGAGGTGGCTGGTGAACCAGGGTGAGGATCGGGACTAGGAGGCAATTCGGGAGGTGAGGGGGGCAAGGGCGTCGGGTGTGGTGAAGAGGATGCTGTGGAGGAGAGTAAACACCTAGGATGGGTTGGTGCGGGAGGTGGACCAGATGGGGGAGGAGTTCATAAAACTCCAGGGCAGCGGAGAGGGATTGCGGTGAGATCTTCTTCCACGGGCGGTAGAAGATGGTGGTAGGTTTGCAGTGGGGAGAGGGATATAGGCATTGAGGAAGATAAAATGGTGGTCAGAGATGGCCTTGACGGTAATGGTGACATCCGAGATGCTGAGGCCCTGGGTTATCACCAGGTTGAGCAAGCAGGTGGCCTTGAACGTGGGTAACAGAGTTGATGTGGAGGAAAAGGTGAGGAGAGGAGAGAGAAGTCTGAGGAGGTGGAGCAGGAGGGGCTGAAGTGGAGGTTGAAGTCGCCTACGATAATGAAGCAGTTGGAGCAGAGGCAGAGGCAAGCTAGAAGGGTGGAGATGTCAGAGATGAAGTTGGAGGAGGATTTTGAGGGGCGGTAAATTAGGAGAATGTTTAGTGAGAAATGGGAGGGATGGCAGAGCATAAGGTGTTCAAAAGAGGGAATGAGCGAGTGGAATAGGGGGATAGGGCAAGTGAAGCCCTGGAGATGAGGGCCACAGCGGTTGGGCGTGGGACACGGTGGTAGGTGTAGCCGGGTAGTGTGGCCTCAATGAGGGTGGAGGTGTTACCTGGGGTGATCCAGTTTCCGTGAGGGCCATAATATCAACTTTCTCATCGAAGATGAGATCATTGACGGCCAGGGTCTTATTGCAGATGGAGTGGACGTTTTGAAGGCCAATGTGGAGTGGACAGTTGGCAGGGGGATGTGTGGGATGGGAGGAGGTAGTGGATTGGTTGGCAGGGAGGGTGGGAATGCAGATGAGGGAGGAGAGGTTAGCCCCCGGGGTCTGGGTCTGAGGTGGCTTGCGGCGGTAGTGGGGAATGGAGCAGTCGGTGTAGCTGCTGAGTTAAAAAACAAAAGAGTTAAAAAATAAAAAACAAAATGGGGTTGGGGGAGGGGAGGTGGAGAATTAGATGGGGGAAAAAAGAATAAACTGTGAAATGAGGCACTGTGTGAAAGAGTTTTGTTTTGGTGTGAAGGATCTATGTACAATCACTGATCCCTCCAGTCAGCTGGTGTCCATCCACTCAGAAGGGCTAAACAGCTTCCTCGCTGACCTCCTGAAGCTTGGCTCACACAGCAACCTCTCTGCATGGATTGGACTGAACAACTTCAACAGGGTGGGTTAGATAATAATGATAATCCTTGCATTTTATATAGCACCTTATCACGTCTTCTAGATGACTCAAAGTACTTCACTCTAAATTGAATTGACTATATTTTGTGGGTGAAACGTAGGAGCCAATTGCGCACTTGAGTGTCCCACAAACACTCATGGATTGAGTGACCAAATTATTATTATTATTTTTTTGAAGGGATTATTACCCCCACCGGAAAAGCGATCCACCAATCGATTAACAACCAAGTTCCTATTTACTGCTAGGTAAATAGGAAACTTGCTAGGAAACTTGTCCAGTGTTTCGACCTGCATGGGAATCAATCCAGGTCCTCTCGCTTGCGAGGCGATGTGCTAACCGCTAAACTATAGGACTCACAAATAATAATCCTTGCATATGCTATAGCACCTTATCACGTCTTTGAGACATCTCAAAATTCCGTGGCTCAGCCCATCATTACACCGCGCTTTTCACATCAGGACAGTCAAGTGTTGGTGGTTGGGATCAAGAGGGGTGAGAGAAAGACCTAAGCCGCGGACGAAGAGGAAAGTCGTGAGAAGGACCTTGAAGGAGCAAGGGAAGGGAGAGAGCAAGGTGAAGGGACTCCAGGATGGAATTGCAGTTAGCGGAGGCAGAAAGGCTGATGGTAGGGCAGATTGGGCAGGGCGGGACACTGGGAGCAGGACGGCTCCCGCCGAGTGGAGGGAGTGTCTGGGGTGTTAGGGCTTGAGCAGGTCCCAGAGGAAAGATATATTGGCTTTGGAGGGGGTGCAGATTCACCAAAATTATACCAGGGTTCAGGGAGTTAAATTATGAGGACCGGTTGCATAAACTTGGTCTGTATTCACTTGAGTTTAGAAGGTTGAGGCTGATCTGAGTGAAGTGTTTAAAATAATAAAGGTATTCGATAGAGTAGCTACAGAGAAACTATTTACTCTGGTGGGGGAATCCAGAACAAGGGGCATCATCTTAAAATTAGAGCCAGGCCATTTAGCAGTGAAATCAGCAGATAGTTTTTCACCCAAACAGTTTTGGAAATCTGGAACTCTCTCCCTCCCCCAAAAGTCTGTGGATGCTGGATCCATTCACATTGTCCAGATTGAGGTAGACAGATATTTGTTAGGTTAGGGTATCAAGGGATGTAGGGCAAGTGCAGGTAATTGGAGTTGAGGAACAGATCAGCCATCATCTAATAGAATGGTGGTACTGGCTCACGGGGCTGAATTGTCTCCTCCTGTTCCTATAAGGAGGAGCAAGACCATGGCAGCCAGTGAAGCAGGGCAAGGATGGGATGGGGGGGTGGGTAATAGGCTTGTGGAACCCAAGTCACTGAACGATCACAAGACATCTGACAAGAAGTGCGTCAAGGACCGTCTTTGGTGGATATTCAGAAACCTTGTTCATGATGACCTACTGGAGATCTTTCACTACAGGGCATACTGCAATGGGAGGACGGGACTTCAGTGGACTACACCAATTGGTCTAGATACAAACAGCCTGAAATGCAGTCAGCCGCAGCAATTATTAAATCTGGTATATAGTTTATATAATTACTCCCCAAGTCTCTCTGCATCTCCCTCTCACACCTCAATCCATACCCTGACTCCCCAAGTCTCTCTGCATCTCCCTCTCACATCTCAATCCATACCCTGACTCCTCAAGTCTCTCTGTATCTCCCTCTCACATCTCAATCCAACGCCTGACTTCCCAAATTCTCTATCCATCTCACTCTCACATCTCAATCCATCTCCTGACTCCCTAAGTTTCTATCCATATTTCTATGTTTGCTTGACAGATGGGACATGGAATACTTTGTGTCATTATTCGACGGTTAGCTTTATTTGTATCTACAAACTTAAGTGAGTGGAAACAGTGACGGGAAAGGACGAGTTTGGACGAATGGAATTTGCTGGTTCGCCGCCTTGGTATGAAACTGTGCATAGAGATACACTCACTGAGTCCAACAGCATGTAATAAAGCAGACAATTCAACAGCACGTTTATTGTCTGTTATTTGAGATATCCATCTCTCCACTCACCAGTCCATCCATTTCCCTCTTACACCTCAATCAACCCCTTTGATCCCCAGAACACAAAGAGAGAGAGAGAGAGAGAGAGGGGGGGGGGGGGGGGGGGGAGAGAGGGAGGGAGAGAGAGAGAGAGGGGAGAAACTCTTTTTTCTTTTCCCGACAGCACCTCGGTAGATCTTTAACGTTCACCTCAACAAGGCATGGATGGAGAGTGAGTGAGATTTAATGTCTCATCCGAAGTGCTCTCTCTCACCTCAGCTCTGCGCTGCAGTGTCAATTTAGATTGTGTTGGTTCAAGTCAACCCATTAAGCCTGGCTGATTGGTACCACTGTCAGCTCTGGCACAGAGAGTTGTGGAAGGACACTGTATGGTTGAAAGTTGTTGTTGCTGATTATTTTATGTCTCTAAGAATAAAACTTACGAAAGAAGACTACAATTTTATTGATAACCAGAATAACAAAGAAAATCGTCAGGACAGATACTCGGGAGATGGATTGAGATGTGAATGGCAGATGGATAGAGATGTGGGGGTGTCAGGGGATGGATTGAAGTGTGAGAGAGATGGATAGAGTCAGGGGATGAGGCAACCGGGTCCTGCGGTGTGGAGAGACTCAGAGCGGAGGAGGAAGTGGACTGGAATCTATGGACAGTCGTCAGTTATGTCCACTTTAACAGCTCCTTCCTTCTCGTATATCACCGTAGACCAATCCAGGATATTGCCTGTCAGACCAGAGCAGCCCTGACTGACCTTACGCATCTGTTGCGGGAGCAGGACGTGTTCCCAGAGATTCACATCTGCGATCTCGCCAATGAAGGACAGGGGGTGTTCAGAATCTTCCAACCCTGCGCCCTGTTCCTTCCCAAGAAAAAACAAGCCACCTGGCTGGACAGAGGCCCCCTGCCCGAACGTCTTACCCAAGCTTCGCTTCCCGTCCATCCAGAAACGCGACGCCCCTGTGGCGGATTCCCACGTCAGGCACACCCGCCTCATGAGGGCGTCTGGTCCGGGGAGGTGAAAGGTTTGGTTGTGGCCGGCGATGTACATGGTGAAATATCCGTCCGCATCCCACAGCAACGCCAGCTCTCTGTTGCCATCTGACAACGAGTAGGAGAAGAGAGTGGAAGCCCTCTGCAGCTCGGTGGCCAGACTCATGCAAAGAGTTAAAGCGGTCAAACGGAAGAAAGGCAAGGAGAAGAGCTTCACCTGGCCTGTTTCTTCCTCCCCGAACACCAATGACTTCCCAGCAAATCCCTCTGTTAAAACATTTAAGATTGTCTGTCAGCCTGGCACAGTCGCTCGCACTCTGGCCTCCAAGTCAGAAGGTTGTGGGTTCGAGCCCCCCACAAACAGTCTAAGCTGACTCTCCAGCGCAGCGCTGGGGGGAGAGAGAGAGAGCGCTGAATGGACAAATGTTTCGGCTGCCTGTGCGGTAAGATACGGTTGGAGGTGGGCAGTGTGGTGGAGGTGGAGGAAGGCGGTCCTGATCAGGGACTGGATGTGAGGAAGGAAGGACAGCTGTGCCATAGAGGGCTGGCACGATTCTGGCATTCTGTTGCCAAACATGTCACCAGTTCAGTTCCAAGAAGCCCCCGCTTACCTCTCCGCCAAGGTGGAGAGTCACACATTGGTCAATTGACATCCAGCAAGCTCTCTGCTGGATGTCATAGAAGGATCTAGAACTATGAAGAAACAAACCCTCAATGGCGAAGATCCTGTCTTTGAGTTGGTTCTGAATCCCGAGCAGAGCGTTGAAGTCGTTGACGGCAAATACGTAGTCGTCAGAAGGATGGGAGCCGATGGTGTGGAGCTCTGTCAGTGCATTTCTGTTTCCAAAGGCATCACCAACCTTCAGAAACAATTTGTGTTGAAACACAGTGAGATTTTCACCCTCAACAAACTCTGCATATGCCTAGCACCCCAGTCCTCGCCAGGCCCCATTGGCTCCCTATCACAGAGCAGATCGATCTCAAGCTCCTCACACTCACCTTCCAGTCCTGGTACCTCCCTACCTCTTTGACGTGCTTACTCCCCACTGTGCTCTGGTCTACCATCAGTGGCCGTACTTATAGACACTATATTTCAAAACTTTGGAACTTTCTCTCTCGATCAGAAGGGAGATAAGGAGAATTTTTTGTACCCAGAGAGTTGTTATGGTCTGAAATGCATTGCCTGAAAGGGTGGTGGTAGCAAATTCAATAATAGTTTTCAAAAGGGAATTAGATAGGTACTTAAAAAGGAACAAGTTGCAGGGCTCTGGGGTAAGATCGGGGGAGTGGGACAAGTTGGCAGCTCTTTCAAAGAGCTGACACAGACACGATAGGCCAAATGGCCTCCTTCTGTGCTGTAAGATTCTATGAATTCCTCCACCTTCCTCCTCCTTCCCCTCTTCAGATTACTGAAGATCTTCCTCTTTGACCATGCGTACATGGTCACTTCCTCTCTTTCTCCCCCTGGCTTGACGTCAGGTTCCGCCACAGTTAAGCCCTCCAAGTTGTGGCCCTGCTGTGTAAATTGTTGTGGCGTTTCGGCCTCTTTACAGTGTGGAGTCCTGTAGCTCAGTGGTTGGAGCGCTCGCTTTGCAAGCGAGAGGACCTGGGTTTGATTCACGGACAGGGCGAAATGTTGGGCAAGTTTCCTTACTCCACACGCCTCTATTCACCTAATAGTAAGCAGGAACCTGGTTGTTAGTCAATTCACAGATCACTTTTCCGGGGGTAATAATCCCTTAAAAAAAAATTCCAAAAAATTATAATAATAATTTGGTCACTTAATTCATGATTGTTTATGAGACACTGCTGTGCACAATTGACTGCCAAGTTTTGTCCACAAAATACACAGTTAATTCACTTTACAGTATATTCTGTGCAGCGCTTTGAGACATCTCAAAGACCTGATAAGCCACTATATCAAATGCAAGGATTATTATTATCCTGCGAAGTGCTCTGCATGATGTACTTAGGCGTTGCATTGAGCGCAAGGCATATTGTTTTCATTAGCTTTCTTAGCTCACCCCAATGGCAAAGATCCAGATCCGCTTGTACTTGGCAGCCAATATCGCTGCCTCAGCTTCTGCCCGGTCGTTCGAGAGTCCATCTGTAATAGTTATCAGAATTCTCATGGTTTTCTCTCTTCCTCCAGTTGCTTTCTCGAACATGTTTTCCCTGCACCAACCAATAACAATAAAAAGTCATATTGCTAGGCTAATTAAATTGTACAGACACGATGGGGGGAAGAAGGGAAGGAGCAGAGGAATGGTTTAGATTAGAGAGTTCCAGTGTACGGGGAGCAAGGACCAGTATAAACATGCTGGGGTTGGAGAGGTAGAGCAGGGGAATGAAGTTAGAGTAGAGAACTCCAGTGCGGAGGGAGTAAGCACCAGTGTAGACAACAACAACAACAATAACAAAATTACATTTGTATTAAAGACATGATGAGTGGGGAAGGGGGGAAGAGCAGGGGAATGGGTTTACAGGAGGTGGGGAGACAATTTTGAAAACTTACGTCACAAATTTAATTGCTGAAAATGTCCTTGTTCCACCCATTAACTGAGGAATACGATCAACCAGAGTCTCTTTCTTCTGAGCTTTTCTGTAATCGATGAATGAAAACTCTGGCTGCACAGACGTGGAGTATTGCACCACTGAAAACTGGAGAGAGCAGAGTTGCTTAAAGCGAATATTAACAAGGACAGCCACTAATGCAATCATTATAAGAACATAAGAATTTGCTGGAGAAAGAAGATCAATGTCCATCTAGTTCGCCTTCCACCATCCCGGCAGTCGCTTGATATGTATTGTCCGAAACTATAGACTATATCCCGAGATATTATTTTCTGGCAGAAATCTATTTAATTTGTTCTTGAAACAGATGACATTTTCTGCTTCCACCATCTCCCTAGGGGGCCTGTTCCATAAGTTTATTACTCTTTCACTGAAGTAGTTTTTTCCGCAGATTTATTCTGAATTAATCCCCCTTGAGTCGTAGGACATGTCCTCTGGTTCTACTGTTTAGAACAAGATAAAACAGATTGTCATGCTCTACATTATCTATTCCCTTCAGAATCTTAAAGGCTGTAATCATATCGTCCCTCAACCTTCTCTTCTCCAGCGTGAACATACCTAGTTTATCTAAACACTCCTTATGGACCAGTCCCTCCATCCCCTCAATTATTTTGGTTGTCCTCCTCTTTATCCTCCCAATCACTGCAATATCCTATTTATATTCTGGTGATCAGAACTGCTCACAATATTCCAAGTGTGGTCGTACCAGTGATTTGTAAAGTGGCAGGATTACCGCACTATTTTGACTCAATATTGCTCTTTTAATACAGCCTCGCATCTGGTTTGCCTTACTCACTGCTACCGAGCACTGTTGGGATAACTTCATTTATCCTGGAGTCCTGTAGCTCAGTGGTTAGAGCACTCGCTTTGCAAGCGAGAGACCTGAGTTCAATTCCAGGCAGAGGGTGAAACCTTGGGCAAGTTTCCTTACTCCACACAGAGCCTAATAATAATCCCTCCAAAGCCAAAAACAATAATAAATTGGTCATTTTCAATCTACGACTGTTTGTGGGACATTGCTGTGCACAATTGGCTGCCGCGTTCGCCCACAAATATACAGTCAATTCACTTTACAGTGTGTTCTGTGAAGCGCTTTGGGACGTCCTCCCTACGTGGAAAGCGCTATATCAAATGCAAGGATTATTATTAGTATTATTATTTTATTATCAATCAGGTTCTTTTCATTTGTCGGGTTATTTTCTTACCATTTAAATAATAGTCCCTTCCTGGATTTTTTGTTCTCTTGTGAAGCACTTTACATTTCTCTACATTAAATTTCATCTGCCATCAATAATAATAATAATTCTTACATTTAATATAGTGCTTTTCACATCTTCTAGACGTCTCAAAGCGCTTCACAGAATATGCTGTAAAGTGAATTGACCGTATATTTGTGGGCGAAACACGGCAGGTAATTACGCACAGCAGTGTCCCACAAACAGTCGTGGATTTTAATTGACCAATTTATTATTGTTCTGTTTTGGAGAGATTATTATTAGGCGTGTGGAGGAAGGAAACTTGCCCAAGGTCTGCCCAGTCCCAAGAATGTCAACCTGTAACCTATCCTGTTCATCTTTGCAGTGTACCACCTTCATTAGCTTTGTGTCATCTGCAAATGTAGCTGTGTTGTGACTCCTAGCTCTAGGTCATTTATGAGGATGTTAACAACAACAACAACAAAATTACATTTCTATAGTGCCTTTCACATTGGGACGAAATCCCAAAGCCCTGGTCAGAAAGAGTTACCCTGGGGGTCGGGGTCAGGGAGGGTGGAAGGCAGAGGGAGAAGCAGGGAGATCAAAAGTACGGTCGAACAGGAAGGTTTTGAGATGGGTCTTGAAGGTGGCGAGGGAGGGGGCAAGACGGAGGGACTGCGGGGTGGAGTTCCAGAGGGTGGGGGCAGAGTGGCTGAAGGCCTGCCCGCCAATAGAGGGTCGAGCGAGGCGAGGAACGTGAAGCAGGCCGGAACCCGCTGAGCGGAGGGAGTGAGCAGGATGGTAAGGGGTTAAGCAGTCGCAGAGGTAGGTGGGAGCAGGACCGTGGAGGGCTTTGAAGGTGAGGACCAGGATCTTGAACTGTATCCTCTGTGTGATGGGAAGCCAGTGGAATTGGGCAACGATGGGGGTGATAGGGTCGTGGAGCCTGGTGCGGGAGGGGACACGAGCTGCAGAGTTCTGGATGAACTACAGTCTGTGGAGGGAGGAGTTGGGGAGGCTGTCAAGCAATGAGTTAAATAAAAGAGGTCCCAAAATAGACCCCTGTGGAACTCGGCCGGTAACATTCTCCCAGCTTAATGACATTCCCCGTACCATCATATTAAAAGATATTAAAAGAGTACATTAAAAGAATCGAGGGAAGAGATAGCAGAGGCACTATTAAACATATATAATAACTCATTAGAAAAGGGAGTAGTGCCAGAGGACTGGAGGATAGTTAATGTTATACCTATATTTAAAAAGGGAGATAGAACACGCCCAGGGAACTACAGACCTGTCAGTTTAACAGCAGTGGTAGGAAAGATAATGGAATCCTTACCGAAGGAGGTAATAGAAAAACATCTAGAAATGGAAAATATAATAAGGAATAGTCAGCACGGACTACAAAAAGGAAGGTCATGCTTGACCAACCTCATTTAATTCCTTGAAGGGGTAACAGAAAGAGTAGACAAGGGTAAAGCGGTAGATAATAATAATAATAATAATAATAATCCTTGCATTTGATATAGCGCTTTTCACGTCGGGAGGACGTCCCAAAGCACTTCACAGAACACACTGTAAAGTGAATTGACTGTATACTTGTGGGCAAACGCGGCAGCCAATTGCGCACAGCAATGTCCCACAAACAGTCGTTGATTGAAAGTGACCAATTTATTATTGTTTTTGGTTTTGGAGGGATTATTATTAGACTCTGTGTGGAGTAAGGAAACTTGTCCAAGGTTTCGCCCTCTGCCTGGGATTGAACTCAGGTCTCTCGTTTGCAAAGCGAGTGCTCTAACCACTGAGCTACAAGACTCTAGATGTAATATATTTAGATTTCCAAAAGGCGTTCAATAAGGTACCACATAATAGACTAATGAATAAGGTCAGAACATGTGGAGTCAGGGGAAAAGTAGCAGAATGGATAGAAAGCTGCTGCAAAACAGAAAGCAGAGAGTAGGGATAAAGGGTAACTACTCAGACTGGCAGGGGGTGGGCAGTGGTGTTCCACAAGGATGGTATTGGGGACCATTGTTGTTCACAATATACATTAATGATTTGGATTCGGGAATCCGCAGCACAATTTCAAAATTTGCAGACGACACCAAATTGGGAGAAGTAGTTAATACCGAGGAGGACTGCAACAAATTATAGCCACACATTAGTAAACTTGCTGAATGGGCATTTAAATGGCAAATACATTTTAATGTAGAAAAGTGTGAGGTGGTACATTTTGGTAGAAGGAATAAGGAAGTTACATACATCCTGGAAAACAAAAACCTAAATGGGGTAGAGGAGCAAAGGGATCTAGGGGTACACATACATAATTCAACGTAGCAACACAGGTTAATAAGGGCATAAAAAGGCAAACCAGGCATTGAGGTTCGTTTCTAGAGGAATAGAAATGAAAACCAGGGAAGTTATGGTAAACCTCGATAGAACCTTGGTTAGACCACACTTAGAATACTGTGTGCAGCTCTGGTCCCCACATTATATAAAGGATGTAGAGACACTGGAAAGGCTGCATAAGAGATTCACAAGGCTGATCCCAGAACTGAGAGGTTATACCTATCAGGAAAGGTGAACATAATTGGACTCTTTTCTCTTGCAAAGGGGAGGGTAAGGGGTGACCTGACAGAGGTCTTTAAAATTATGAAAGGTTTTGATGGGGTAGACATAGGGAAGATGTTTCCACTTGTGGGGGAGACCAAAACCAGGGGCCATCAATATAAAATAGTCACAAATAGATCAAATAGGGAAGTGAGAAGAAATGTCTTCACACAGAGAGTAGTGGGAATGTGGAACGTGCTACCACAAGGAGTTGTTGAGGCAAATAGCATAGATGTATTTAAGAGAAAGCTAGACAGGTACATGAGGGAGAAAGGAAGAGAAGGTTATACTTGAAGGCTTAGTTGAGGAAGGGCAGGAGGAGTCTCATGTGGAGCATAAACACCGGCACAGACCAAGTTGGGCCGAATGGCCTGATTCTGTGCTGTATATTCTAGTGTATTCTAATGTATTTTAATGTTTACTACTTTCTGGGTTCTATTGGTCAGCCAATTACGTATCCATTGCAAGATACTTCCTCTGATTCCCGCTTTCTTTATTTTCAGTACCAGCCTTTTCATGAGGAACTGTATCAAAGGCCTCACCCCTCACGCTGCTGAAACCCTGGTCCACTCCTTTGTCACCTCAAGGCTGGACTATGGGAACTCTCTCCTCGCCGGCCTTCCCGCCACCTCCCTCCACAAGCTGCAGGTCATTCAGAACTCTGCAGCTCGTGTACTGTCCCGCACCAGGCTTCGCGACCACATCACTCCCACCCTCGCTCGCCTCCACTGGCTCCCCATCCCCCAGAGGATTGATTTCAAGATCCTCATCCTCACCTACAAGGCCATTCACGGCCTTGCTCCCTCCTACCTCTCCAACCTACTATCCCCCTACCTACCTGCCCGTACCCTCCGTTCCTCTGGCTCTGGTCTGCTCCACGTCCCCCGCCCCAACCGCCCTACCATCGGTGGTCGGGCCTTCAGCCTCTCAGCCCCCAGGCTCTGGAACTCCATCCCCCAGTGCCTTCGCCTTGCTTCCTCCCTTTCCTACTTCAAGGCCGGTCTCAAACCTTTCTCTTTGACCATGCCTTCAGCTCCCCTCTCGACTCTCTTCCCCCTCCTCGCTCCCTCCCTTCCCTCCCCTCACCCTGACCATTTCCCCCTCCTTGCTCCCTCCCTTCCCTCACCCTGACCATTTCCCCCCTCCTCGCTCCCTCCCTTCCCTCCCCTCACCCTGACCATTTCCCCCCTGCTCGGGTCATGACCCAACTGTGCAGCGCCTTGGGACGTCCTCCTGACGTGAAAGGCGCTTTATAAATGGAATCTTGTTGTTGTTGTTACTGAAATTCAGATATACACATTACTGCCTTACCCTTGACAAGCTATTTTGTCCCACAGTAAAAGAAAACCAATAAATTAGTCTCCCCTTCATAAACCCATATTGGCTCTTTTATCATTTTATTAGTGTCCAGATGCTCCATGATCTTACTTTTAATAAGAGTCTCCATAACTTTACCCACAATGGACGTCAAATTCACTGGTCTGTAGTTTCTTGGATCACTTTTGCTACCTTTTTTAAAAATAGGAGTGACATCTGCTTTTCTCCAGTCCCCAGGCACCTCTCCAGTATCCAGTACAACAACAACAACTTATATTTATATAGCGCCCACTACACAGGGCAGCATTTCACAGTGCTTAACTATGGTGGAGCCTGATTCTAAGCTGGGGAGGGAGAGGTGACCATAAGCAGTCAAAAAGGAAGGTTTTAAGGCGGGACTTGAAAAATGGGAGAGAGGGGGCAAGGCGGAGGGATTGAGGGAGAGTGTTCCAAAGTTTTGGGGAGTCCCTTAACTCTCCTTTATCCCCACATCCATGCCATGACTGGTCTGCCTTCCCCCACCTCCGCAACATTGCCCGGTTCTGCCACTGTTTCACACCGCAGACCGCCAAAACCCTCATACTCGCATTCATAACATCCAGGTTCGACTATGCAAATTCCCTCTTTGTCGGCCTCCCCAACTCCTCCTTCCACAGACTGCAGATCATCCAGAACTCTGCAGCCCATGCCCTCTCCCGAATCAGGCTCCGTGACCCTAAAACCCCCATCTTCGCCCGACTCCACTGGCTTCCCATCACACAGAGGATACAGTTCAAGATCCTGGTCCTCACCTTCAAAGTCCTCCGTGGTCTTGCTCCCCCCTACCTCTGCGACCTCCTATCCGCCTATTAACCTGCCTGCTCCCTACGCTCAGCCTTCAAGTCCCCTACCTCACCATTGGCGGGAGGGCCTTCAGCCACTATGCCCCCATACTCTGGAACTCCATCCAGCAGTCCCTCCACCTTCCTTACTTCCTTCAAGATCCATCTCAAGACCTTCCTCTTCCGCCATGCCTTCGGTTACCCTCCTTCCGCCCCTGCCCTCCACCCTCCCCGATCCCCAGCTTGGGTCGAAAATACTGACTGTGCAGCGCCTTGGGACATCCTCCCAATGTGAAAGGTGTAGGAAAGTGAAGGAGTCCTGTAGAGTGTAGGAGGAAGGGAAGAGCAAAAATGGGGACAGGACAGTGAGTGGATTTAACATTGTACCTGGGCATCAGTGTTGCTTAGTTTCTCCATAATTATTATAATGAATTGTTTCATGATCGAAAAGTCAGAAGGACCAATACTGCCTGAACCATCGATGAGGAAGACAATATCAGCGGGAATGCCCAGATCATCTACGAAGAAAGATAAACAACAACAACAAATTGACATTTACATAGTGCCTTTCATGTCAGGAGGACGTCCCAATAATAATAATAATTTTTGCATTTGATATAGTGCCTTATCATGTTGTTGAGACGTCTCAAAGTGCTTCATAGAATATACTGTAAAGTGAATTGACTGTATACTTTATGGGCAAAATGAGGCAGCCAATTGTGACAGCCGTGTCCCACTAACAGTCATGGATTGAGTGACCCAATTTTTTTTCAAGGGATTATTACCCCGGGAAAATTGATCCACTGATCAACTAACAACCAGGTTCCTACTTACTGCAAGGTAAACAGAGCATGTAGAGTAACAACAACAACAACAACTTGCATTTATATAGCACCCTTCATGCTGGGCGGTGTCTCAGAGTGCTTAACATTGGTGGAGCCTGATGCTGAGCCAGGGTGAGCGGGAAGGTGATCGTAGGCACTGTTTCTGTGCTGTGGGCGGCTTGGAAACCTGATTGGAGGGGTTCGTGAAGGGAATGGTGGGAGAGGTAGGAGCAAAGCTGGGAAACAACGATTCATTCCAGGACCTTGCAAAGGAAAAGGAAGTTGGAAATGGGGTGCTAGCTTGAGAGCAGGAATAGGTCCAGGGAGGTTTTTTTAAGGATAGAAATGATGAAGACCACCATTTTTAAAGGGGTGGAAAAGATGCCAGTGGATAGGGAGAGGTACGGAGGACACGAGGGACATGGAGGTGGCCAGAGCTAGTCGAGCAGCGGCAGTGGGTAGTCAGCAGGTCACGCCCCACGTTAAGTCTTGGAATCACACATTCTAAATAGACAAACTATTTGTCACTTACCCTGAGAAGAAGACCCGGGGAGGTGATCACAAATGACAAGCAGGAAAAGTAACACAATGTATTTCATTCTTCCAATCTGGGAATAAAGTAACAAGATCCACTGGGTACGGAGTCTTGTAGAGTGTAGAAGGAAGGGAAGAGCAAGGGAGGTGAGGAATCCTCTAGTGTAGGAGGAAAGGAAGAGTGAGAGAGGGAGGTAAGGAGTCAGGTAAATTTAAGGTACCTGAAGCAATATTGCAGAATTTGTCCTCGGAATATCACACCAGTGTTGATAATGGAAAACCAGGAAAACATTTGAGCCTGACATTCCTTCTAGAACATTCTCTGACCCAGATTTGCTGGCTGTTTTTCGGGAAACTCCCATTGGATGGGCGATCTTCCAAATCGGGAGCCACATTGACAAGATTCCTTCCAATTCCTATCTTCCTTGGCTCCTATAATTCCCAGTGTTTGCAACCAGATCATCAGCAGGCTTGTTTCATTTCTCTAACATCTTTCCATGAACTATAAGTAAAAGTGGCCTCCAACACTCTACTGGACTCACCTCCCTCCCTTAGTTCTTCCCTTCCTGCTGTGCTTTACAGCACTCTATTTCCCTCTCTCACTCTTTCTTTGCTCCAATACTCTATAGGACTCCTCACATCCCTCAATATTTGGGAGGGAGAATGCAGAGTGAGCGGATGTGAAACAAATGAAATGCACAAGAGGGTGGGATGCTGGGTTCTGTTTTATTACACGTTGCGTCAATCAGTAATTTACTCGCACATAAAATGGTCGGTGAGAGAACCAGGAAAATCCCCAAAAGACTAGGTTGGAAAGAAACACCAAAGTCTTCTTTCACAATGGGATGGGAGACTCTGATTTTATCCACTCATCTCCTATTAATCCTGCAAGCCAAAGCCCTGTGTGACAGCCTGGCTCAGTCGTTTGCACTCTGGCCTCTGAGTCAGAAGGTTGTGGGACTTTGAAATACGTAGTCTAGTCTGATTCTCCAGGGCACCTCTGGAGGGGGAGGAGAGAGAGACATTGTCTGAGGAGCCATCGTTCGGACAAGACATTAAACCTCACTGTGCCCTGTTCAGGGAGGACATTAAAGATCTCCCATGGCACTGCTGGAAAAGTGAAGGGAGTTTCTCTCTCCTGGTGTCCATGCCGACAATCCCCGAAATATTTTTGTCCAGAATTTGTCCTCAGGATATCGCACCAGTGTGGACTAACAGAAAACCAGGAAAACATTCGAGCCTGACATTCCTTCTAGAACATTATCTGACCCAGATTTGCTGGCTGTTTTTTGGGAAACTCCCATCGGATGGGCGATCTTCCAAATCGGGGGCCACATTGACAAGATTCCTTTCAATTCCTATCTTCCTTGGCTTCTATAGTTCCCAATGTTTGCAACCAGATCATCACCAGGCTTGTTTCATTTCTCTAAACATCTTTCAATGAACTATACAAGTAAAAGTGGCCTCCAACACTCTACTGGACTTATCTCCCTTGCTTGCTCTTCCCTTCCTCCTACATCTACAGAATTCTGTATTTCCCCTCTCACTCTTCCTTTCCTCCTACACACGTTTGGACTCCTCTCCTCCCTCGTTCTTCCCTTCCTCCTGCACTCTACATGACTCCTCACCTCCCTGAATATTTGGGAGGGAGAATTAGAGCGAGCGGATGAGAAATAGACGAAACACACAAGAGAGTGGGATGCTGACTTCTATTTTATTGCACGTCAGTAATTTACTTGTACAAAAAGCGGTCGGTGAGCGAAGCAGGAAAATCCCTAAAAAACTGGGGGAAGATTTTCAAGGTAGGAAAAAAACACCCAAATCTTGTTTCACAATGGGAGGGGGCGGGAGAATGAAATTCTAACTACACAGCTCCTATTAACCCTACAAGCCAAAGCCCTGCGTGACAGTGTGGCTCAGTTGCTGCACTCTTGCCTCTGAGACAGAAGGTTGTGGGAGTTGGAATCACACAGGTCAAGCTGGCTCTCCAGGGCAGCACTGTGTGGGTGGGGGAGTGAGAGAGGGATATTGTCTGAGCCGCCATCCTTTGGACAAGACATTAAACCTCACTGTGCCCTGTTCAGGGAGGACATTAAAGATCTCCCATGGCAGTGTTGAAAAAGAAATGAGAGTTTCTCTCTCTCCCGGTGTCCTGGCCGACCATCCACCAAATAAAATGGGTTGCTCGCTCCATGGATGTTTGTGGGATGAGGGGCTTAAGAGACAGGGAGACAGTGCAGCCTGCTGAGGACTGGTGCAATGGGCGTGCGGAGTTTAATAATAATAATCCTTGCATTTGATATAGCGCTTTTCACGTCTTCTAGACGTCTCAAAGCGCTTCACAGAATATACTGTAAAGTGGATTGACTGTATATTTGTGGGCGAAACGCAGCAGCCAATTGCTCACAGCTGTGTCCCACAAACAGTTTGGTGGGTGAAGAGCTTGAAATTGATCTGCTGAGAGTGAGGGAGACAGTGGAGCCTGGCGAGGACTGGGATGATGGGGGTGCAGAGCCTGGTATGAGCAAGGTCAGAATCTGTTATTAATCCCACCCTCCCGGGGGTCTATCATATCTGGAGTCTCAGATGGCCCATTGTCCGTCCACTATCCTTGGCTTCGACCTGGACCACTGCACATACCCACACAGGTAGCCGTGATGATCTCCACAATTGACTCTCTGGATCTTTGAGATCTTGGCTGCGGGAAAGAAAATAACAACATAACGTTATACAATGGAATCCTGTAGCTCAGTGGTTAGAGCACTCACCTCGCAAGTGAGAGGTCCTGGGTTCGATTCCCTGGCAGGGCGAAACGTTGGGCAAGTTTCTTTACTCCACACATATGTCTCTATTTATCTAGTAGTATTAATAATAATACTCCTTGAATTTGATATAACGCCTTATCACATTGTTGAGACATCTCAAATCGCTTCACAGAATATACTGTTGAGGGAATTGACTACATTTTGTGGGTGAAATGTGGCAGCCAACTGTGCACAGCAGTGTCCCACAAACACACATGGATTGAGTGACCAAATTTTTTATTTTTTTTGAAAGAATTATTATACCCAGAAAAGCGATCAGCTAATTGACTAACAACCCAGTTCCTACTGACTGCTAGGTAGACTGAGGTGTATGGAGAATGGAAACTTGCCCAATGTTTTGCCATGTTTTATTATTGAATAAAATAACATTAATAATATTGAATAAAATAACATTAGCAGCATGAGGAAGGAACTGAGTGAGGTGGAACAGAATGAGAATTCTGTTAAGGAATTTGGTGAAGGTGGGCATTCTTTAGCAAGAGAGATACCAGAGAGCAAGAGAGAACTGTTTCATTCAAGAGAAGATTGAGAAATCTATCTTGAGGTGGAGGCAACTTTATATGCAAGCGGGCAAATAAGTCAATTAGCAGTTAATCATAGGCCAAGTGTTGGGGATTAAACAATCTGTTCACTAGTCGAAACTGGGTGTCTTTGTTTGAGTCCAAAATAAAGGAGAAGACTTCCAAGAGCCTCACTTGAGCAGAGAGCCCAGCATCTGAGCAAGGAACTGAGTGAGAATTATGTTAAGGAATTTGGTGAAATTGGGAATTGAGTGAGGTGGAACGGAATGAGAATTCTATTAAGGAATGTGGTGCAGAGGGGGAAAGAGTGCATAATTATAAAATATATAATAATAATAATCCTTGCATTTGATATAGTGCTTTTCATATCGGGAGGATGTCCCAAAGCACTTCACAGAACACACTGTAAAGTGAATTGACTATATATTTGTGGGCGAATGCGGCAGCCAATTGCGCACAGCAATGTCCCACAGACAGTCGTAGATTGAAAATGACCAATTTATTATTGTTTTTGGTTTGGGAGGGATTATTATTAGGCTCTGTGTGGAGTAAGGAAACTTGCCCAAGGTTTCGCCCTCTGCCTGGAATTTAACTCAGGTCTCTTGCTTGCAAAGCGAGTGCTCCAACCACTGGGCTACAGGACTCCACGAGTCCCATAATAGTTATATTAAAATAATATAAAACATGTCTGGGAATATGACAGGGCAGCTGAGATTGGTTGCATACACAATGTGTGCCATGTGGCAACTCCAGGATGCTTTGTGTGCCCTGGACAGACATGTGTGTAGGAAGTTCCTCTGGTTGCTTGAGCTCACAGTTTCTGAAGAGTTCATGATTGTTTCAGGAGGTGGTCACCCCACAGTCACAGAGGGTTCAAAAGTAGAGTGAGTGGGTGACATCAAACATGGTAGGAAGAGGGGATGGGCAGTGCAGAAATCCCCTGAGAAGGTGGCACTTGCAAACCGGTTCTCTGTACTGATTACCCATCAGGGTGATGACACCTCTGGGGTGGGGAGTCAAAAGAAAATGGATGCACAGGGGGACACAGAGAAGTGTGTCAATGCAATTGTCATTGGGGACACAATGGTGAAAGGAGTAGACAGGTGTTTCTCCAACCAAAAATGTGACTCTCGCATGGCATGTTGCCTCCCTGGTGCAAGGGTTGAAAACATCATGGAACGGGTGAAAAATGTTCTACAAAAGTAGGGAAACATCCAGCAGTTGTGGTCCATGTTGGGATCCATAACGTAAGGGAAAAAAAGGGCTGAGATCCTACAGGGAGAGCATCAGAAGCAGGGGAAAAAGCTTGGGCAAGTTTCCTTACTCCACATGCCTGATAAAAATCCCTCCAAACAACAAAGCAATAATAAATTGGTTATTTTCAACCCACGACTGTTTGTGGGACGCTGCTGTGCACAATTGGCTGCTGCGTTTCGCCCACAAATGTATAGTCAATTCACAATTCACTTCTCTTTGACCGTGCCTTCAGCTCCCCTCTCGACTCTCTTCCCCCTCCTCGCTCCCTCCCTTCCCTCCCCTCACCCTGACCATTTCCCCCCTGCTCGGGTCATGACCCAACTGTGCAGCACCTTGGGACGTCCTCCCGACGTGAAAGGCGCTTTATAAATGGAATCTTGTTGTTGTTGTTGTTGTTTACAGCATATTCTGTGAAGTGCTTTGAGATTCAAGAAGACATGAAAAGCGCTATATCAAATGCAAGGATTATTATTAAGAGGATGCAACCAATACCACAGTATCAGTCCTGTAGCTCAGTGATAAAGCATTCGCCTCGCAAGCGAGAGACCTGGATTTGATTCCCGATAGGGCAAAACCTTGGGCAAGTTTCCTTTCTTCACACATCTGATAATAATCCCTCAAGAAAAAAATGATAAAATTGGTGACTTCAAACCACGACTGTTTGTGGGACACTGTGTTTCACCCACGAATATACAGTCAATTCACTTTATATATATATAT